GATTACGAATCTTACTTCAGGAGTAGGTTTAGAGTTGTATCTTTCAGGAGTTTATAATTTAGTCTAGCAAACCACAAAATGCTAAACATAGGCTGTGAACTTTAAATGAAATAGCAGGAGGCCTGAGAGTACAGGGATCAATAAACCATAGGCCTTGGACCACAGCAATACCCTGTAAGTTGTAAACTCCTGCCAATCTACAGCAAACACTGAAGGTTAAACCATCAACCCTAAGCAACCATCAGCCTAAAGCTGGGTGAAAAGCTGGAAATGCTGTTTTACAACTTTTCTGGGGGGTAAAGAATATGACAGAGAATAGGAGGTTCTGTCTGCAAGATGGTATTTCTGAGAAGTCTTATCCACTATTACACTTATACTCTGTTAACACCTCTGTGTGGGGAGAAGTGGGGGTACTGGACCTCCAGAACAGCATCAGCTCCACTGATGGCATTGTGGTCCTCCCACGTATTTTCCACATCCCTTTCTTAGACTGGGAAATGAGCAACAGCCAAACATCAACCATGTCTGGAGAAACTCAGATAAGCACTGTGGAGAAAACTCACCTGAGGTGTGGAGGCTGTGCTTGCCACTGGGACCCAAAGAGACAGAGACTTGGAGCTGGTGTCTCCCAATTTTTACTAAGCTTGATGGTCCTTGTCCTAGTTAGGACAACTGAGACCAGTTCATCATGGTATGGGTGTAACCCAAAACTGTGTATTCTATAGCCTTCCATGCCATTTCCCAGAAACTGTTGTCACTAGACTATTCGCACCCTCTGCCCATAGAGCCTGACTCCTCAGGCTATAAACTAGGTGTTACGAGGCCTGTGAGATAGGAGGATGCTCTTGTCCTCACACCCTTTGTGGAACTCCCTGCCCTGAGGGAAGTATTGAGCATTCCTACCTGAACTGGAGGATATATAATCTTGGAGTCTTGGAACATTTTTAACCACTCGTGGGATCCAGAGGAAGACTGCAGCTCATCGCTCTCAACCTCAGCTGGACTGCAATCACCACTTCTGACCAGACTGCAACAGCTCTCCCACCAGCAGGTTTTTCCTCTCTCCCTTTACTTTGGACTCAAGCGGGGCCCAAGGAACACCACTTTGTTCATGCCCCAGGGTACTGGGTTATACATTTGGGTTTTGTGAGTTAAGACCAATTGTTTGTTTGTATGATTGTACTTACTGTATTGTTTTAATAAATTGTTATTCTGACTTATAATCTCTCCTTTGAGTTGGGTTCATTTCCCCTGCTGGTTAACTCTTAAACCAGCACAGTCCTCTATATTTGTGTCTGATTTTCTGTGAGCATTTTGTCTTCCCAGCACTTTTACACTGTTCAAGCACTATAGTCACATGGAACAGACTGTCCAACTGGCTGCAGAGAGGACACTTGACCAGGCTAATCATTAAGTAAATTACTTTAGTAAGTCACCACTATTTTCCCAGTATATTCCATTCCCTACTAAAATGCACACCCATCTGAAGTAGGAAACTGAAGTGGTTATACCACTGTCACCAAAACTCTGCCCAAATGCAGACCTGTAGAGCATCCCAGTGCTGTCTCTGAGCACCCTGCTGTGACAAGCCTGTTACACATGGGAACATAAGGCCTGGGATAGGATCTTGATTAAGGTCACACATGAAGGCTGAAAATCAGGAAACTGGTCCAGAATTTTCAAAGATGATGCAACTTCCCCTCTAGACTACCCTTGAGCTAAATGATGTTCTTATGCATATAAACCTTCTGTAATTTCAGAGGTGCTCACAACTAATCATATTATTAAAATTCCTGACATCTGTATTAAACATTAATTTATCTCACAACATTCCACATAATAATGGTGTACACCATAATAATGGTGTACATCCTTATTATCATCCTGTAAGGCTTAAGCTGTACCATATCCATATGTACAAACTGACTTTCTCTTTTAAGAGCTAAGTATATCCATCTCATGATGGCAATGTTTTGCAAGCACTCTATAGGCAGTCACTTTTCGCATAAATATTCTATTTATGAATGTTCTATTTCCTGAATATTTTTGCAAACTGCATCCTGAATGCAATTCCAATGCTACACACATTCTATTCCAAAAACAACTTTGTTCTTTCAAGATTTTTGCTTTGGAATCCTGAAACTGACATTTTTCCACAAGGGCAAAGACCATCTCCAGGATGCCTTTCCTTATGCTTGACACATAGTGGTATGAAGTTCTTATTTCAAAACCCTCAAGAAACACTTCATTTCTCATATTAGAGTGATAATACGTCAAGAAAACATTGTAAGTAATGCAGTTAAATAGCTTAATGCTACAGCTGTAACTTAAGCTGTTCTCAGTTATTACTGCCATTGTGATTGATACAGTTTGCGCTCTCTGTAGCATTTTGTATTCCTAATAGTGTAGTTGTTAACTGGGACTTTGATTCAAGTATTTTTATGAAACATGTATAAAAGTTGCAAACCGGCAAATTGGAGATAATTACAATTAATTGCACCAGCAAGTACTAAAGCATCCGTGTCCTAAGAAAATCTGGATCTTGCAGCAAAATGCATAGAACAAAACAGGTAAAAATATATTTTAATCAGATGTTAAAAGTTGGACCAACGTATAATAAAAAAGAGTCTCAGCAAAGACAAGCCAACAGTGCCATCTTGAGGTCACCAGAGAATTAAAGGAAGAGGAAAGCTGCAAGCACTGCTCTGCTTTTAAATGCAGAAATTACTTGTTCAATCTCTATGTTCCAAGAGGAAAGAAAAATACTCTCAAGCCATTTTCTTACCTCGATCTTGTTAAAAGCAATGCATTTGCAGACACCAGACCTTTCACGAGTTGATTAGAGAGAAGGAGCACCTCTCCTATAAGGAAAGGCTAAGAGAACTGGGATTGTTCAGCCTTGAAAAGAGAAGGCTTCAGGGTGACCTAATTGTGGCCTTCCAGTACCTGAACAGAAACTACAAGAAAGACGAAGAGGTACTTTTTACAAGAGCATGTAGTGATAGGACAAGGGGGAATGACTGCAAACTGAAAGAGAATAGGTTTAATTAGTTATTAGGAAAAAAATTCTTTGCTGTGAGGGTGGTGAGCACTGGAACAGGTTGCCCAGAGGGGCTGTGGATGTTCTCTGGATGGTCCCTGGCCGTGTGCAAGGCCCAGTTGAACAAAGCTCTGAGCAACCTGGTCTAGTGAAGGGTGTCCCTATCCATTGCAGGGAGGTTGGAATTTGGTGATCTTTAAGGTCCCTTCCAACTCAGGCCATTCTATGATTCTATGGATATGACCTTTCAGGACTTATTAATTTATTTTCTTGGCTGCTTGGTTTCCTCCTTTCACTAGCTGATACCTGCAATTTTACAGATAACAAAGTATGCAACATTCTTGCATCATACGTATTTTTTCACATTGGACTCACACCACTGCATATCCTACCCTTTACTGTTTTATGACTTATACCCTCATAAAGGTCATGCACATGAAGGCTGGTAGAAATGCATTGCAGGTCTTCTGACTGAGGCACAGAACAGAAAAATCTGAGTGTACAAACAGGGTGAGAAAGCAGGGATTCATCCTCCACATATATGGGAGAAGCTTCAGCAATATGAAAAAATGCAGAAGGAAACCTGCACTGATCCACATGGCACAGCTACTCTGGCTGTGCATATACACCTGCCAGACATGTCCACCACACCTACTGCTGGGGAATGGCCACCAGAACAGTGGCAATTTTAGACTAGCAAATAAAATGGTCCTGTTCTAATTCTTTTAAGAAAAGGTTGTGGCGAAAATAGTAACCTCTGTGCAAGCAAATGTGGTAAGTTCTGCTGCGTGGTTAAGAATCAGCTAGTGCAGAACTATTGTTTGGTGACACAAGTACTTGTCCATCAGCAAATCACAGAATGGTTTGGGTTGGAAGGGACCTTTAAGATCATCTAGTATGTCAAATCAAATTGATGTTTCAAACAAGATTCTCTCTTATGAAGTAAAAACCGTCTTGAATGCCTCTTTAGATAACATCCATAGCCCAATAAATAAAAAAAATGTTTTGAAAACAAACTGTTTCTAAGAATGTATGTTTTGTGGCATTTCAATAGGGAGAGAAAAAAAAAAATCTTTATATAAAACATATGCTGGACATTACAGTTTCAAGGGATATTTTTAAATTCATGAGTCTGAGTTAGTTCATGAAAGTTACACCACCTTAAGTGAGCAACTGCTACTCTGGCAGAGCATTGTGAAGGGTAAAATGGAGATACCTCACAAGCTTCAAGAAAATATGGATTTACTATTCAAAGCACAACAGCTCCTCTGTAAAACACAGATGCTAATATCCAGGATGGTGTCCCATCCTGGACAGCGGTCTTAGGGAATCAGTTTTTAATACGGTTTCAAGGCAAAGCAAAGGTGTTATTTCAAATGCCATGCCCTGAAGGAACCAATGGACAAGACATTCAACTGCTCAGGCAGAAGGAATATAAACTCATAATTTAAGTTATGCTGACCTATCACACTCACTAGTCAGAGACATTAAATTTAAAGTAGCCTGCTTTGATAGGTCACTTACTTAGTAGGAAGAGACAGCATAAAATCTTTTTGCTCTTTTTTTGGAAAACATTTACAAGCGCAGAAAAAAGTCACTGTTTTTCCACATGTATAGAATATCAATATTTCCTTTATCAATAACTGTGCATTACATAAAGCATCATTTTAACCTACAGCTTGCAAAACTCTGTACATTTTCCACCTGAAGTTTTTCACATCAGATTTTAAACAAATCATTTATATATATTCATTCTTTATATTTTCAGAAGAGTAATGTAGGGTAAACAAGAGGACCAAAATACTTTTTCTTTAATAATACAATTAATATAAAATACCTATTTTCATAATATAACATCTTACGCTTTTATCACAAACTACCTGTCACAAACTAAGAGTCTGTACAAAAACTGTTAAAATCATTTTTCAGTAGGTTCTAGCTTAAAAGAGGGAGGCACAAGGATCTTCCTATACATTTAATCATCTTTTAAAAGACAAACAGATCTGTTACAGTTTCAACGCATGCCCAAGATTTGTCTGCTCTTTAGTTGATAGTTTTTTTCCAGTTCAGACAGTGCTTGAGCTCGTAGATTTGCAGCATACAGACGTTTTTTGAGATCAGAGCTTTTGTCTTTAGAAAACAGATAGTTTTCCATATTATTAGGAGACACAGCTTTCTCTTCACTTCCATCAAAGTGTACATTCTTCTTGGTTGTAGAAAAGGGAAGCAGGAGTGGGTTATCTAAAGAAATCAAAAAGGAAGTACTGAATTAGTGCACCTTCCAGCATTTATTGAATTTACCCCTGTTGCCCATGTCATCTTCCTACGGCTTTGAGTGATCTAATTAAACTTATTTCAGTTAAGAGCAAAAATTCTATTTTTTGAGGAAAAATTAAAACAAGACTTTTAAATTATTGTGGTAGAAGGATACATGCCATAGTAGTTTTTGGGTGCACATCCCAACACTAAAGGGAATATTAGTTGACACAAGGAGAAAAGATGTGATGTTTTTTCTGATGGACAGAAATGAAGCAGTAACATAATTCGGTTCCAAAAGAAAATAGAGAAGTAGGCTCTCAGATACTGAAAAGAAATTGTGTTTCCTTTGTAGCAGGGACAGACCCAACCTGTCCAGTGATCTTCCTATATTACCCACATTGTTCCAACTCTGTCTTTGTACTAAGCCAATGGGGTACAAATTAGGCTCTGACTTGATGAGTAATGAGTTCAGGTGCATTAAAAATTAAGAAGTTACTTTCACTGCAGCCTCTGGAACAGGAATTTTCATAGTGCAACCTATAGCATGCCACAATCAAAAGGCAGGTATAATGACCCAAGAGTACAAGGACTACCATATAAAGCTATTATAACAGCTGAGTTGCCTCTCATAAGAGCCAACTTCACAATACTCAATTTAAGGTGTGATTTTTATTTTTATTTAATCAAAATTCTAACTATTCTAATCTTAACACTGTTGAAGCCCCAGTTTTCAATTTATTAGGCTACAGCAAGGATGCAATAAGCACAAAAGAGCAAGAAAGAACTGAAGAAGCCAGTGAATATTTTAGCATTTTATAGTTTCATAGCAGTCAGATCTGTTTTAACATGAAACCATTTCCTAAAAATTAGAAAATCCCTGTAAAACAGGATAATGTCTAGGTCACTGTCTTAAAAAACAGAATTTTTGGTATTCCATTTTACTGTGAAGTAAACCACACAACAGACTTCAAGGAGAAATTAGGGATCTAGGAGATGTGTGAGAGGCAATACAGTTGTGAAAAATATAGTAACGTGAGCAACTGAAGATAAGCAAGTGATCTTGGTACCCTACTGGAGAAACACTTCGTCCATTTATACAAGAACAGGGAGAATTTCAGAAACAGTATTGCAAGAGCACCATGGAATGAACTGGAGGAGTAGCAAACCAAGTGGTCTACAGATACTGCAAGATTTGATCAGTCTTGTAGTGCAGAAAAGTAAACATAGTTACTGTCTTGAAGTATTAACTGCCCAAAGTAGTTTTATCTATCTTACAAACTCCTGATAAGGTCAAAATATTATGTAAAATGGTGGGAGATGTAGGAGAGAACAGAAGCAAGAGCTGAAGCTCATTTGCCTTCAGTCATCCAGTGTTAGATGCAACATCAAAAAGCCAAAAGCAAGTTTATTCTCAAATTAAATTCTTTAACATATCCAAGTCAGACAGTATGCTGAGAGACAAGTGGAATTCTCAGAGTTGAGAGAAGCGTTAGAAATAGCTCAAGTACCACTCAATTCTAGGGGCATTTTACTTGTGCTCTTTCCTGCTGTGATAGGCACTTAGAAAAAAAAAAAATCCACTTCAGTTTTATTCGTATTGGAGGCAGGGCTATGCTTATCTTGCTTTATTGGAGCAAACTAAAGGAAGAGAGTGTTGCTTCATGTTAAAGGGTGTTCATCTGTCTTTGTTCTAGAGTACTACTTCTGACCTAGTTGTTCACTACTCCTACCACTACTTCAAAATGCATTTAGAGACTTGAATAATTTCTAATAGTAAAAGATGGGTGCAATGAACAGATGATAGTACCTCTTATGATAGTGAGGACTGAACAACCAATGCCAACCAACTGGACTAGAAGGAGGCAGGAAGCATTATAGCACATTTTCAAATCTGGGTTTTTTCCTATAATAGCAGTTTGCATTCTTTATAGACTATATGATGCACCAATCACAGCTGGGTCACTTGCAACAAATAATATTTCCCACACTGAAGTTTTTGGAAGTTTAATGAAAGTTGAACTGATTAGACATACACAATTTTATTAAAATTAACTAAATCGAAGGTCTATAAAAAGACATTCACATGTAAAATAAGCACAGTTCTGAGAAAGGTTCGGGTTACAAGAAGGCACTTCCCTTAGTTTGCCACAAGAACCCAATTTCCAAAGCAGCAAAAGACTGCAGTGCAAACAGTAGTAACTCAAAGACCTATGATTGAGCATCACTCCTGAAGTCCTTTTGCAAAGCAGAAAATCAAAAGTCTCTTCCCAACCATGCAGCAATAATTGGGCTTTGTGTTGCCCTGATGGGACTACGTACAGGATGAGCACCTCTACGTTGAGCACCAGGGACATTCTTCTGGTCATACCAGCCTACATTTATCTGGGCAAGTGCATTCTGGCGTATTTGCATACCTGGACCATCTGCGTAAGTTACTGCCCGCTGCTGCTTGTGGAGATCGTAGCTCCTCATCAGGCTTTCAGCTCTGTTTTGGAAAGAGAAATTTAAGCTTTCTGTTGTCAGATTGTAGAGTTTCTAATACAGACAATTACAGGTTAGTAAGATACCTAGCAAGTTTGTCCTCTGCCAGTCTCTCTCGCACACAGAGCTCCCGTTCTCTCTCTGGAAGTAGAAATATGTGATAGTATGTTGTGTTAAAATGTTAGAGTGATTGTGCATGATGGGTTTTTCTTGCAGGAAAAGACAGTAGCAATAGCAAGCTGCACACATATTTCTGATTCTATGGCTCTAAACAAAGGTAACTGCTGTGTAGATACACCTTTATCAATGCATCAGTAAAGCACTGGATGAGTACACTGAAATGCCAGGCATGCTTTTGTTCCCAAACTTTGACATATCTGCAACAATGAAGCCAGAGCAGCTTTCTATTCTGCACATTAACTCATGGCACACATGACACCAGATTTAAATATTTATATGCCAGATACTATAATTCAGCTATAACTAAACACACTGTTTACAACATCAGCAGATGTCATTCAGGCTCAGAAAAAAATAAATATAGTTAAAAACTGTATTGCAGAGCCTACTGCCTATGCAAAGGCATTTTATGTGGGCAGGAAATTGCAGCACCTGAGTACCAACCATCTATACAGATTCACAGGTAAGCTCCCTGCAGAGTGCAGCTTTTATAAAAGTGTAAACTCTTTACTCAAAGATTTTTTTTTTACTCAAAGATGTTTTTCTCCAACATCAGGCTCACCTTAGGTTACATGTTAGTACAGCCAATGCTAACTTACACAGTGGGTGAAAAGCAACCTACATGGCACAGTGAGGAACAATATATTCAAACCCTATTTTTCTGTATACTTTCCTAATTGCCACTCATGTTTAATAATCTTCACAAACCAGACTGCCATATCTAAACTGCCAATTATATCTTCGTAACTTAAAGAAAAAAGCCTCGTACAGAATGACTAAGCCCCAAGCATTCTTGCTTTGGTCTTTAGACACAATTCTGGTATTGAATGCAGGAGTACAATATCCTAGTGCGTTAAAATGAGGGTTGTGAAAACTGTCTACCTTTCCTTCCCCCGACTGAATCAGAATCCCATTGCCCTCCCTTCCCAAAGTAGAAAATCATACGCTCCAAACGTTGTTCTCTCTCTTTAATGGCTTCTTCTCGCTCCTGTAATTGTTGTTCCTTCCGTTTCAGCTCATTCGCTGCAGCATCTGAGTACTGCAGCCTCTCTGGCTCCCACGATCTCCAACATCTTCTATCAGAATTCTGCTTTTGTTCTTCTGTCACCAAGTCTGCTATCAAGGGGTGCTGCAGAATATCTTCAACAGAAGGTCGGCAATAATCCTAAAGGAAAGACATTACCAATAGGTTCCATCTGTAACCAAGAAACATTAAGGCCAGAGATTCCCAAGCAAGACCAGCTAAGGTATTATACAGTGAAGAGGTTGGAAAAAAATGGAGTTAGGAAGGGGTAGCACAACCAGTCGACAAAAGCTAAGGGAGGAGTCTGTTACTAGCCATCAGATCCAGAGCCACAAGTCTGTCTCTCCCAGCCCAGGCACCCACTCCTTTCAGAGCCTGAATGGGGTGGGTGAGCCTACAGAGACAACTGTCAATAGATTCTGGAGATACCACTCTGCATCTCTGCCTGTCACTTGATTCCTGAAGGATCCATACCTGCTGGAGACTTGGGATAAGTTGTAACAAGCACCCATGCAGTATTCTCAACACCCTCATGCCAGCAGTGGGGAGCAAGCTATACATTAGCCATATAAAGCAAAACCCAAAATGAAGACAAAACAATCCCTTCCAACTTCCAAACACACTAGAACCATTTTAACCCTGAAATTATAAGACCTCAGTAAGCAGGCTCTTAGGAAATCCTGTATAAGCCAATATTGAGGCAGCCTTTTTGCATCCTGTGAACCTGGCATAAAGCTTGAGTTGCTCCCTTTTTTCCCCACGGACTCAGAGCACAACTCCTCCCTCCTTTTCCTACAAGTGACACTGCCAGCGACAAGGTGATAGCAACCAGTGCTTCAGGTTGGTTTGTTTCATAATTGAGAAGAAAATCCAGTATTTCAGTATTAGTTCAAATTCCAGGTGCAAACATTAGTAATTGACTCGTACCTTTACATTCAGCATCTGTTTGAGAAGTTCGTTCAACTCCTCTGAGTAACGATACGGTATTCTTCTGAACTTCCCTTCCCTTATCTTTTCTGCCAGTTCCTTTTGGTTGTAAGCTGTAAATGGAGGCCTGAAAAAGAAAAATTTTTCTGGATTCTTCCCCTGGTTTCACAGAATGTATTTTCAGAAAAAAAGTATCAGACTAAACAGCTGCAATCAAGGGTTTGTTTTCACTACCTAATGTCAAGACAAATACAGAAATAAAAATCTAGGACTAGACCCTGAAACCTTTAAGCTATCATCTATACAAAATTTAATCATACCTGCATTAACAACTATGTTTCCATATTCATTATCACACTACCATACTTACGAGAGAGCACACAGTTCATACAGAAGACATCCTAGAGACCAAATGTCAGATTTTTCATTGTATGACATGTGGTTCATTTGTTCCTAAGGAAAGAGAACAATCTTAGGTTTATTAAAGAAGACAGTGTTCTACTAATGCAGGATAGTCAGCTACTATTCAAACCTGAATCAAGTCATTACTTACTGGGGTTACTTCTAAGATTCCATTTTAATTTATCTCCACATTCAATCATACTAACAGGATTTTAATAAGTTGTGGCAGTACCCCACTGCAGAAGACTCACATGTTGCACCAACCTTTAGTCGATACAACTCAATTTCAGTCAAAATTAATCTTTTCCCCAAGAAATCCACTATATCAGGGCAATAAGTAATTTCTGCTCATTTCACTACAAATTAAAATCCTACCATCAAGAGGTAACTTAAGCTCTTTACCTTAGCACTACAAAACATAAAAGCTCTCTGTTCCTTTTTAATATACTACAACACCTGTAATATCCCAAGAACAAAACAAAACTTACACAGTGAAGAGTAACTTTAATTAGAAGGCAGCTGACTATGTGGGGAAGAAAGGAGATGAAAATAACTGCAAAATAACCTTGTGTTCAGAACATATACAGTCTATGAAAAAAGTCACCTGCATTTCAAACTAGTAAGTCTTCATTAAAACGCCCCAAAACATTCATGGACTCTGAAATCAACACTGTAGAAAACACACCTTGGAGGGGCAAAAGGGAAGATAAGGTATAGAAGGGAGGTCTTACTGGAGACATATAATATGGAGTTCCAACAAATGTTTTGGCAAAGCTGGTATCATGATGCAATATTCTAGCCAGTCCAAAATCTCCAAGTTTCACATTCTGTTTGCCATCCAGAAAGACATTTGCTGGTTTTAAGTCACGGTGCACAGTGACTGCACCGTCACTCCGTCTGTGACACTCCTTCAAGGCCAATGTTAATTGAGTCAATACTCGGAGGACAAAGCTTTCTTCCAAGAAATGCCTGGAAGATGAAAACGTTTTTAACAAACAGATTTTTTGGACGTACATCAGTTCAAGTAGTTGCTGTCAGTCTTAGTTCTGTAACTTTTCTAACACGCCTCTTATAAAACATCACTGAAACAACACTATCAGCAACAGGTATCTATGCATTCTATTTTCAAACTTGACTTTTTTTTTTTTAAATTACTACAACTATGTTGAAAGACATTTATACTTTTGTTGCAAAATCCCTGTAGCATTTCCTTCCTCACCCAAACAGTCTATCATATACACAGCATTTTCATTACTTTCAACACAAATATCAATTTGATCCTTTTGTGATGGTATCAGTCCCTCGATCACCTAAGATAATAGTATATTGTCAGCTGTTTATAATAAGCAACATCCAATAACAGAGCCAAGAAACAGCTGGTTTTTAACAGCTGAAATGAAAACACTGATGTTGCTGGGCAGCTGCGGTACTATTTTAGACTATTCTCACAAAGTAACAGAGGTGGAGTCATGTACTTCTTTAACATGAAATGTGAAAACTGATACTATACTTAAGTAGGCTCCTAAGTCTAAAATTAGACCAAGGTGAAGCCTTAACAACTTGATGTCTCCCCAGGCTTTATATGCAAGTACATAAAGTAGCTTTTCACACCGTTCATAATTATTTTTCCCTTCCACGTATTTTGGTGTTTTAATAAAACACAGGGTCCAGGTAGTTTTACTGACAGGGAAGCCAGAACCCACAGACCAAGCAGTCTGTCTACAAGAGCTAGGATTTGCTCTTTATGTTTACAACCCTATGTACACCCAGAAACCCCTCAACAGCTTCTGCCTCACAAGAGACCTCGGCTTTTGGGTTTTTTTTACTATTTCAGCACTGACATCCAGCCTGACGGTGCATTCAATAGCACAATTCCCAACGCTGCTGTAATTTTGCACAAAACTTTTCACATTTGAGAAGAGTTGTTGGGTCCAAGGGGTTAAACCCGAAACTGCTCGGAAGTTGAGATGCATTCCCCGTCTCTCTGGATTGGCCAAGACACCTCGTGTAAGATATTCCAAGCTCGCCACAAACAGATTTCACGTGCCTTTCTTTTGAGCACTTGGCAATCAAGCTCGCCAGGTCTCCCCCATCGCAGTACTCCATCACGATGTACAGGGTCGTGCTGCTCCTGTCGATGATCCGGTCGTAATACCGGACGATGTTCGGGTGCCGCAGCTCTCTCAGCAGGTTCACCTCCGAAACGAGCATCTGCTTCTCTGACTCTGTCATCGAGCCATAGTCCATCTCCTTCCATACCAAGATCTGGGGAGGAAGAAACACCTTACGGAGCGGCTGGGACGCCGGCCAGAACCTCGAAAGGGGAAGAGAGAGGGGCTTCCAGAGCCGCTCGCTCGCGTATCTCGGAGAGGCGGCAGCGCCGGGCTGGGACCCGCGGCAACGGCACAGCCGCGCTGCCCCCGCCTCCTCCTCCTCACCTTGCCGTCGGCCTTGCGGCGCACCTTGCGGCACTTCCCGTAGGAGCCGGCGCCGATGGTGAGCAGCACCTCATAGTCATCGGGGCGGCCGGGCATGGCGGGCACAGACAGGGTGCAGGCTCGGTCCCCGCTGGGCTCCGCTCGGCCTCGGCTCGGCCCCGGCTCGGCCCGCCCGCCCCGCGCCCCGCAGACCCGCCGCACCGCCCGCGCCGTTCAAACGCACCGCCCCGCCCGCCCATTGGCCGCGCCGCGCGCGTGCCCCGCCCGCCCATTGGCTGCGCCGCCGTAAACAGCCCGCGCCGCGGTCGGGCGGGTACGGCCGTTACCGCTGGGGGGCGGGGCCAAGGGTATCGCGAGAGCTGCGCGGTAACGTCGGGCCCCACCCGCGGGGCACCTGCGGCACGCCCTCCTCACACCATTTGTCCGCTTTTCCCCCTCTTTTTTCCCCTTTTCCTCCCCTTTTTCCTTTTTTCTCTTTTTTCTTTTTTCTTTCTTTTTCCCTTTTCCTTTTTTATTTTTCCTTTTTTTTCTTTATTATTTTCTTTTTTCTTTTCTCTTTTTCTCTTTTTCTTTTTTCTTTTTTCTTTTTTCTTTTCCCTCTTTTTTCTCCTTTTTCTCCTTTTTCTCTTTCTTTTCTGGTTTTTTTCCTTTTTTTTCTGTTTTTTTCTTTTTCTTTTTTCTTTTTCTTTTTTCTTTTGCTTTTTTTCATTTTCTTTTTTTTCCTTTTTCCTTTTTTCTTTTTTATTTTCCTTTTCCTTTTCTTTTCTCTTTTTCTCTTTTTCTCTTTTTCTTTTTTCTTTTTTTTTCTTTTTTCTTTTTTCTTTTCTCTTTTTTTTTTCTCCTTTTTCTCTTTTTTTTCTGGTTTTTTTTCCTCCTTTTTTCTGTTTTTTTTTTCTTTTTTCCTCTTTTTTCCTCTTTTTTTTTCTCTTTTTTTCTTTTTTCTCTTTCTCTCTTTTGCTTTTTTGCTTTCTTTTTTCCCTCTTTTTTTTCTTTTTTCTCTTCCCCCTTTTCTTTCCCTTCTTTCCTTTTTTCCCTTCCCCCCCTTTTCTTTCTCCTCTTTCCTTTTTCTTCCTTTTTTCTTTCTTTTTTTCTTTTTTTCTCTTTTCCCCTTTTTCCCCTTTTTCTCTTCCCTTTTTTTCCCCTTTTTTCCCCTTTCCTTCCCTTCTTCCTGATCAGATAAACCACCAGGCCTGAAGGTATGAATAAATAACTCACATCCTCATAGCTCCTCAGGAAAATACACTTTTTTCCATTAAAAGTAACATTTCCTGAAAAACTTACTTCTATTGAACAGATAGCAACAGAACATTGGAAGATCTTAGCAGAGTTTTTTTAATACTGAGAAGTGCTAAAAAACCCTCAAACTATTTAAAATATCAATCTCTTCTGTACTTATTGCAGTCACAACTTCCTTGTGAGGGGAAGAGGAGGGTCAGGCACTGATCTCTTCTCTGTTGTGACCAGTGAGAGGACCTGAGGGAATGGCCTGAAGTTGTGTCAGGGAAGGTTTAGGTTGGATATCAGAGAAAAGTTCTTCACCCAGAGGGTGGTTGGGCACTGGATTAGCCTCCCCAGGGAAGTGGTCACAGCACGAAGCCTGACACTTCAAGAAGTGTTTGGACAATACTATCAGGCATGTGGTGTGACTCTTGGGGATGGTCCTCTGCAGGGCTAAGGTTTGGACTCAATGATCCTTGTGGGTCCCTTCCAACTCAGCATGTTCTGTGAGAATTGTCCTTTAAAACTGTGATGAAAATTCCTCATGATTCTTCAAGAAATCATTCACTCCAAAACTTATGGCAGCTATACTGTCACACCACATATGAACACCTGTGTTATACCATATCCAAACCTCCTGTTGAAAATAAGCCCAATAATGTAATGGCTTAAAATGCAAAATTTGAAAACAAGAATATGTGGGTTCACATCCTAACATTGAGCCAGTAAATACTATGGTTACATTAAATGGCACTGAATAACATCTCAATATACTAATGATATTATAGAAATTTTAAGAAGCATGTAGTATATTTTCTAGCATCACTTATGATAATTCTGGAGTGATGCCAGGGTGCAGTTCTGGATTCAGTTTAATCTCTCTCCATGTGGAAGTGGCTGTGACTGAAACAAGAACTCCTAGTTCTTCAGCAAAGAATTGTAACACACTTGTATAATTATAGAATCATAGAATGGCCTGGGTTGGAAGGGACTTTTAAAGATCATCTAGTTCCAAACCCCCTGTCGTGTGCAGGGACACCTTTCCTGAATGAGATGCAAAAGGGAACAGTTGTATTTGTTGACCTAGAAGTTCAGCAACAGGACAGAGCAGTTCCTCACAGTGCATCTCCACACGGCCTCGATCATTTCCCAATTTTATTTCAGGCTTTGAAATAGGTTCGAGGGGAGTAGTTGTCATGCTATTACTGAATATTTATGCAATATTCTTCTACTAGTCTTTAGAAAAATCTAAACCTTTACTTTCATCATCAGGAGGCACAAAAGCTTCTGCTGTCCATTATAAAAATCCTATAGCTTTCTATCTGTAGATAATGTCTGTTCATTACAGGAAAAAATGAGCAAATGAATTATACAGTGTAAAGACATTTTAGTTTTGTTGTTAATGAGGAACAGGGTGATCTAAAGGGTTCATTTCCATCACCAGTTTCAATTATCTTAAAAGAAAATCCTCACATACACCATTAGCATAGTAAATAAATTATGGCATTATACAATAAAAAGGACAAGCAGTACAGTATGTATTATTCAGCTCTAAGCTTAATTTCTGGTTTCAGATATCTCAGTTTCAAACTTCTGTACCTTCAAATTAGCAAAAGGTCATCATGCATTCCCACTGTTATCAATGGGAGCCTTTCTATTTATATTTCAAAAGAAATAGGGTAGGTTTTCAATACTGTGTTTTGTCTAGGGACTATCTTGAAAGTTTCTTTAGAAAAGGTTGGTTTGAATCACAGAAATGTCAAAATGTCATGCTTTAAAAACCAGCAGCAGAGTAGTTTTACTTTTTATTATACTTATTTTTAAGAGCTGGCTAATTTTGAGAAAAATGCATTTCTAAAAGTGGTCATTAAAATTTTCAACAGGCACTCCATTTTCTTTCTGTCTGATTTTCACACTTATAAGAGTTATAGCACTTTTTTTCTCTTACATATGGCCATATAAGTGAACCCAGATACCAATTATTCAAAAAATATACACTGAGTTTTAAATGGAGGCCTCTTTTGTTAGGTATTGTATTTTCAACTCTGGTCTCTGGTTCAGGAGCAACTCTCAGACTCCTGGTCTTGAAAATACATGTACTGACTTCAGGTCTTTGAAAGCCACCAAATAGTTTTCAATAGCCTACCTCTAATATTCCTTCTAATATTTTATTCTGCTTTTGTTTTTTACATCAAATGGCCCATATAATTTCCCAAAACTTAAACAAAAAAAAAATTGCTCTGTAGTTCTCCACCGAAGTTTGTCAGTTTTGGTGACATCTCTTCTTTTCCCTTATTCCAGGAGTACCTTTTCCCTTATTCCAGGGCCTAGTTATCTGACAAAATATTAAAGGCTGAAGACAAATAATATGGTAGGCAATTGGATATTTCTCTGAAGATTATTTTTTTTTTTGCACATGGAAATAGGTAAAAATAAATGGCTAACCCTTTGCTGTGGGAGCCCAACACAGTATACTTATACACATTGATAGCAAAAAAGGATAGTAAAGCGCTGTAGCAAATTCAGTTATGTTTCTGGCAGCTATTTTTTTGCTTTCCCATCAGAGAAGATTGCATAGGTTCAGAAGCCTTCAAGAAGCTCAATAGGAAAAGTATTGAAAATAAAAACAGACAGATGATAAATAATAAAAAATATATGTTCTTTATAAAAATAATTAGAAAAATAGCTGATAAAAATCTTGAGGTTTCTGTTCAAAGAGATGCAAGACATGTAAAATCATATTTCAGGTTCTCAGAAATGTGCCCAAATCTTCTAGCAAAAAGGAGGAATTGAGTACTTAATATTAACAAGGTAAGATATCTTAAAAATGCTTTTATGTGACAACTAGAGGAATTATAAATATTGGAGTGATTGAGATGTGGTTTATATTAGCTCATTTTCTCCACATAAGTAATTTGAGTTTTTTAATATTCAATTGCATTTGTGCTTACATATCTTTATGCACATTGGGTTTTTTTTCCTCACTTTCGCTCATTTGGTCCATGCCCAGAAATTTTAAATTTACCCAGGATTGTTGTACACAGATGACACCATTTTTTTTCTATTGTTGTGGTTACTGACTTTAATGTCAAAACTCATACATAGGATTAACAAAACCATATAAAATACTGGCATATTAGACAGAAAGACTCTAAAAAGTACCAGAGGGTAACATTTCTCACTACTTTTCCTCTATTGCTTTGTGAGGGAAACAAGGAACATGTTCATTGAAGAAATTCTGCAAAACACAGCTGCGGACAGGACAGCAAAGGAACAAAAATTAGCAGCATTAATTATAGTGCTTAAGACCATGATAGTTTTCATGTTTTGTAATGTTTGCATTCAAAGCCAAGTGAGAGTCCAAAAGCAATGTGTGCAGCAAGGCAAGCTTCAATAAGGGAGTTTGTTGCAGCACCTGTACCTCCATGGTTTTGCATTACAAACCATTTAAAAGAGGAAAACATAAACCAGCATAAAATAAATTCAACAGCAGGTCGAGTTTTTACATGAAGGACTAAAAAATCAAAAAGTTGACAGCAGGAGAATTAATGAGGAGAACAAGGAGAGTAGAAAAGACACATTTTTGCATTCAGAGAGGGGAGCTTATGAACTCTACTAACATATGTATCTATCTACCTATCTACCTCTGTATGTATATACATGTATGTATGTATCTTATGCAACCAAAAATTTGTTTGCCTTTAGTGGGAATCAGTTGGGCCATTTCTTAAGAGTAGCACAGCCCTTTAACGTAGGATTCTCCAATACTCGCAGTGTAGTTGACTTTTCTATTCTTCACCCATGATCCTGAATGCCATCCTGTAGCAACAGCCTGATTTATTCTCTCAGAGGATACTGATGTGTTGCCAAGATATACATTAAGCTCACTGCAGAGACGAGCTATGAGGCTAGGACAGGGAAATCAGGCTCAGAATGCTTCAGTGAGAAAACTAAAGACACCTGGGAT